CGACGCCGGTGCGCTCGGCCTCCCACGGCGACGCCTTCGTGCCCCACGCCAGGACCAGCCGCGCCGAGAGCAGCGAGCGCGTGGCCGTCATCTCGGACGAGAACTACAGCCCGGCGGACAGCGTGCTGCCCACGCCGGTGGCGGAGCACAGCCTGGAGCTGCTGCTGCTCGCCCGGCAGATCAACGGGGCCCCGTGCAGCATCGAGGAGGAGAAGGAGTCTGAAGCCAACACGCCCACCGCGGCCGAGGCGCAGGAGCTGGGCGGCGAGGTCAAGGCCTTGTGCCAGGGTCTCGGTGGCGCTGGCGGGACACAAGCGGAACAGGTGAATAAGTTTGTTTTAAGTGTCCTCCGTTTGCTCCTTGTGACAGTTGGACTCCTCTTTGTTTTGCTCCTTCTCCTGCTCATCCTTACCGAGTCTGACCTTGACACTGCCTTTTTCCGTGATATTCGCCAGACCCCCGAATTTGAACAGTTCCATTATCAATACTTTTGTCCCCTCAGGCGATGGTTTGCCTGCAAAATCCGCTCCGTGGTAAACCTGCTCATTGACACCTGAAGGCAGGAGTCTCCAAATAACTAGCCAGGTGGACTCAGAAGATACCTGCTACCTGTTCCCAGCAAATGGGACCCTTTGTGGCACCATCGGCACATACAATAAGTCCTTCTTTCATGACTCAAAAGTACAGTGCGACCTAGGACGTTTCTTTCCAAGGCGACGAAAGGGATAGACTCATACCAGATCAAACACATTTCTTTACAGACCCTCTTGCCTAACATACTCAGCTGTTCTGTTTCCAACCTTGGAGCCCGCAGAAAAATTTTAAGTTTTTAATTTTGATTTTCATAGATGCGTGTATTACTTTGGAAGTATCAAATAAAGAGAGGAATTTATTTTACTATTACTACTGATTATTGTATTAGCATCAGCCAGCAGCTGAGACTCTAGAGATACTGTGTTATGCAGGAGCTTCAGTAATGGTGCTACTGAGTTGTAATTTAAACACTCGTGTGTTGTTACGTTATTGAATCTGCCACTGTGCACAACACTAACACCTTAGAGGTACTGCTTTACAGCGATTACTCCTTACTAATCAGCGTTTCCCAAGTGGCAAGTCATGGTTTAATTTTAATTGGCGAATTCGATTCGGTCCCGTGAGTTTGCTTTGGCACAAATGACGGGTGTGAAATAGAGACGTGGTGGTGTAAGTCTATTCCTTTACATAGCATAGAAGAGTGACCGTGAATATTTAGCCTACTCTACAAACTCAGCCTTTTGTGACCTTTTTCTAAACCTTGAACTTTTAGTGCTCCAGCGGTGTGGAGCTTTGTCCTAGAGGTGTCAACCCCCACGTGAGGAGGGTGATAGGACCCATAGTTAGTAGACAGATGTACTCAATTACGTTTGACAAAGTCTGAGTGCGTAGCCAGTAGTAACCACATTGGATTTATTAGCAAGACATTTAGCCTCAGAAAGTTGTGCTTGTTTTGTACAAAAAAGAGACTGTTTCAACGTATATTTTAACAACAAAAATGCTATTTTGTTATTGAATCTAATCAAGCCTTTTTTTACTTTATGGATTGGGTGAACATAGTGCGCTGTACAAAGTGATTCAAGTTGAGCAAATGGTTTGAGAATAAACGTTTTTGTAGACTGGACTCCTAACATCAGATTAACCCATAACTAGTTTTGGAATAAAGGGAGCTATACTTTTATGACTTTGCTGAAGGTAAAAAAAGGACAGAACTACAGAAGTAGAGGTAACACTGGAAGAGAAAAAAAAGGGGGCAACCATTAATCTATTTATTCCTAAGCAAAAATACATAAATAAAACTAATTCATTTTTACTTGCAACATAAACACTGGAATCTTTAGTTATCTGGGAAGTATAACAGTCTATTTACAAAGGGAGCAATAAAAGCTAGTTCTATTAAGTTTTTATTGGGAAGTTGGACATATTCAACAAAGAAAATGAAAACAAATGAGGGAGTTTTATTTCATCTCAGGGAGAGATTTTATGTAAGCTGGGGCCATAACTGCAGTTTTAAAAGCCTGATTTTCATGTTCTTGTCTTTGAGCACACCACCACCTATCACTGCACACAAGTTCAAGCACTGCTGCGAGGGGGAGCGAGCGCGGCCGGTGCGCGCCCAGTCCTCTCCGAGGTCGGCTTTCAGTTCTGTCCCCACCTAGTGAATTGGCACCTGGCAAAAGAGCGCGACAGTGAAACTTGGTAGAAAAATTGTGAAACGTCAGCTGGACTTTGATAGCTTGTCACTGCAATAACTAAAGTCCATTTTAACTACTGACTGTCAGGGAAAAGAAATAAAGCAGTTGTGTCTCACCACTAAAGACCTAGCCATAGCCATCTGCTTATCACAAAAGCTGAAAAGGATTTTGCATACAATTAATAACTAACTCTTTAAAAGACAGCTTATGTTATGAACGCTGCCAGGAGACGAAGGATAGATTTTTACATGATATACTGTTTTATGCAACATAGCAAAATTAACTTTTAGTGTAGTGTTCCTACCTCAGTCTGTAGTAAATGGTGTTTCTATGCAGTGAGTGATAGTCTCAAACTTGACATTTTTCATCCCAGGTTAAAGATGCAGTATCCCATTGTTTTAATTGCTACTGCTACTGGTGTAATGTCATAACAGCATAGCATTGTCATTCAATGACACGTTCAGCTCTGAATACTTTGTACGTTAGACATCTTCCTTTAAAACAAAATACAACAGAGGAAGTATTGACCTTGAAAAAAAATCTTTTACATCAGCTTACTTTTAGACTAGCTATAAATGCCAAACCTAGTTTACCTCTGCAGTTTTCACCCAGCATTTTACTGTAAAACCATGAGAACTGATAACTTTTTTGTTGTATGTTTTTCCTGTATGTTCCTTGTTATGTCTTGTGTTTCACTACCTGTTAGTTCTACCTGTCTTTATATTACAATGTTGTTTCCACAGATTCTTATATCAGAAGAAATCTAAGAGCATACTGCATCTTTAAGCAGTAGACGGTAAAATACCTGAAAATGTGAATTTCTTAGTTTTCATAAAAAATCTAGAAATTAACCTTTCATGTGCCAAATACTGTAAGTTACATTTTCCTTCAAAATGTACCTTTTTCTACATATTCAATATCTTAGTTAGCATAAAATCATTGGTGCCATGAAAAGTATTTTTAAATTTAAATAAATATTTAAATATCATGAAAACAAGAGTTGGTATTTTTGTCTTAGGTAAATCATGGAATTTGTTTAGTATTTATGGTGTCGTACCACTTTTTTACTTGAGTAAAAACTGTACCTCAATTCAAAAATCGGAGGAATTTGGCCTTTTAGCAGCCCGGTCATCGAAGTTACAAGACAACTCAAACATCCCCAAGCACGATCTGGGATCAAGTTTCATTGCAGCAATTAGGCCTCTAACTGCCTCCACCCTCAGTCAGTTACTTATGTTCTAAAACCTGGTCTACTTTACGATGTTTAACTGAATCAAAGGGTGTTGCAGGCTTCTTTATAAACAGGCATTGCTGCTGTGATGGAAGCTGACACTCCACAGCATGAGGACGCATCTTGCAAATTAGAAACATAAACACTTGTCTCTCCCTCTGATCCCTCCAGCCTCTTCTGCTGAGGAGGCTATTAACGAGGGCCTACATAGCACAGGAAAAAAAAAGCTAAGTTCTGATGAGACTAACAGCAGTGGCAGAGGACTGAGAGCCTCTCATAACTCTGACTTAGGAAATAAAGTTACGCCCCTTGTAAAGAAGCAGCACGCGCTTCCTGCTGCGAGTGTCGGTGTGCAGTGATGTAAGCTGATGTTACCAAAGCGATATGGATACACTTAAGATTTACTGCAGCTGAACTGCTTTGTTCAGAGCAAAGGAAAACTACATTAGCTGTTGCACTTACTGCCAAACCCTGGCCGCAAAGCGACCTGTAACGTCAGGTTCTTGCAGGACCCGCTTGTCAGCGCGAGAAGTGCATTAACTATGGGGTTATAACAGCAGGAGCTGCTCATAAGTATTTAATGTTTAAAAGCGCATTTGGTGTCAGTGACACTGACACACGTCAATAACATTATTTTGACCAAAAGCTCTACTGAACTACTTCGTGCTCTGGTATAACAGGGTCCTCTTTCTCACATGGGCTTACAGGTGGAGAAAGGGCAGGTTAGAGGCATCTGCGCTACAACGAACGGCCCACGACTACGTCTCCTCTTTAATATCGTCTTTGACTATCATTAAAGTGGTTGTGCCCTATTCTTGCATACGCCCTGACAATTGCCGTGTTCAACTCATAACCATGTAGCTTCTTTAGCCAACGTGCTTAATAGCATCGACCCACAAAGATGATCTTCCTTATTGAGTCCAGGAAAGATTTAATGAGATGGTAGACACCTTAACTGACAAGTTTTATCGAAGACATTGTTACTGAATACTTAACTGACCTTAAGAGAGGTTATAGGAACGACACACAAAAACTGGTAAAGGAGGAGCACTCCAGCTTATAGAATGAAAGTCATTAAAAAGAAGCATCTCATACATTTAACAAGCATCCTGCAGATGCTTGTAATTTTTTTCTTTTTCAAAATATAGCTTATGTATTTGAGAAAAAACACATCTATTTTGATACAAACCACTGATCACTGGCTATCATAGTGGGATTAATACCTTTTTTAATTAAAGAAGAAAAGGCTAGATATGGTTTAGAAGTTTTATTTAAAGCTTTTAAAATACACTTTCATCCTGAGAGAACACAGTTAGCTTAAGAACAGTTTAATGCAGATTAAACACATTTGATGCAAAAGGAAAAAAAAAAAAAAGACTTTTTTTTTCATTCTTTGAACACATGAAGGCGACCGCTGGAGTTGCCACCCACTAAGATATTCTTGGTGGGATGAACAACATTAATGGAACACACAGAACCAAGGTAATCAATGTTATAAAAAGAGTGCAACAATTTTCCAGTATCCTGGAAGATTTCTATTTGTCTTGGACGTGCCATACTGCCCACCACAAAACAGTCTTCCTGTTTAGGGTCCCATATCGCTCTGAATCTAGTTAACCAGCGTCCTGTGTTATTGTTATGTCTTCAGAAAAATAAGAAGGGAGAAAAAAAAAAGGATAAATATTCTTCTTACCAAATTCAGTATTTTTTATGTCACATTCGCTTAAACCCATCTTCCTTGCCTTCTAAACCATCAGCTTTCAAACACTGGCCAGATGGTGCTACTCAGATGCATTCAGGGAGATGGGACAAAGATGTAATTAAGTAGAGAAGATATAGCAAAGCATACTTTGACAAAAATGATTATTTGTCAAAGTATGTAAACATCCTGGTTGCATATTTTAGTAAAAAAAAAAAAAAAAAAAGAACAAAAATGCATAAAGTGGTTTGATAAACAGCAAATCAAGAATTTTCAAACCAGTCACTAATCTAGTTCTAGCTCCTTAGTGATCCAAGCTTGACATAATTAACTCTTCTAGAGCACAAAATTGTTTTGCAAATGTTGAGGCTCTCCTCAAAGACATACTCTTTACCATTAAAAAGTAACCTTGTGATATTTTAAAAAAATGCATTAAAAAAAGCATTCTGAACCAAAACACATTTCAAAAATCACAAAACGATCTGTTCCAGTTACATTGGAAGATATTACAGCTTCCCTATATGCATGCTTTATGAATAAAAGCTATTTTAGGCAACCGTGAAGACCAGAGCAAATTATCAGTGTAAGAGAGTATCGTGGCTGCTCTCACTTGAGCAACCGACTACGACATTGGGGCCGTTTGGAAACACAGCGCCACGTATACCCTCTTTTTACCTATCCACAACTACACGTGCCACAACTACAATTGCGAAGAACTGTCACAGAGGACTTAATCTTTGGTCCCAGTGTGTTTAGCTTACCTGACAGTACTGAGAACTGCAACCGCAGATGATAAACAGCTGGTATCGTAGATCCTGTATATTAATAAAATGTACACGTATGTTAAAAAAGGCAGACTCTTCTTCAAAAAACATGCACAAATCAGCTCATATCAGAGAGCACAAGGCAGGAGGGGGAAAAAAAAAAAAACAAAAAAACCCCCAACACCACCAGTTGGTATCTTCCATAAAGATTATTCCTTCCCACATGTTCTTACCTCAACTTATCATCAGCACACACTGTCAGTACTCTGTTTCCAGTTACAGGCGAGAAATATGCAGAAGCAACACTTTTTGTGTGCCCATCAAGAGAGCTCACAGGCTTGTTCCCATTAGACTTCAGGTATCGAACATCATAAATACAAACATTCCTGTAACACACACCACAAAGAACACTTTACCAGGTGACAGTCAAAGACAACAACATTATTTTCCATTAATCGAGAAACCCTCAAGAGGCCAGCATCGGTTTTATGCGAGTTACGTTTAGAACCCGATTTCAGCAACGCATATTAACAAACTCAACTACAAAGGCCAGTGGCTCCAAAGAATGACAGCAGCAAAAATACTCCAAACCAAGAACAGAGCAACCCCCCCTCCCCCCGACATTGTGATCGTCTCTCAAAAAACTCAGCAACTCATAAGACCATTTCAAACCCATTACCCAAAGGCGAAGGGAAGTCAAACTATACCACAGCTTAGCTCTGATTAGAACTAAAAACTTGTTTTCTAAAAAGATCGGGAAGTCTTGAATATCTACAGAGCCTGACAAATTGTCGTCTTCATCAGCAGCTGATCCTGCTCTCCAAACGTGCCTTTTTTTTAGCTGACTTGCAAAAACCAATGCAAATGGAGCCCTTAAAGCATAGAATAACTGCAGTTCGTTTTGAAGGACATACACTGAGCCAGCAGCAACGAAATATTGTTTATTCACGGGGTGAACATGGACTGTCCTTGTTCTTTTGAAGCCAATGTTTGCAGAAAGCTCTGAAGATGTTCCTGGGGTCCGTCTGTCCACAACAGTGACATCACCATCCCAGTGTCCTACTATTACAGTGGAGGCATTATCTTCCAAGAAATCAAAGGAAGAAAAGCTTTCTTCACTTCTGCATATCTGACAATAAAAAAGGTCAAAATGAAAATGATATTATTCTACTAAATACGCACTATTATTCATAATAATCAGAGCACAGTATGGGATGTAAATTTCATGCTTTCACTTCTTAATATACTAAAAATACTAACGAAGACTACCTAATTTGAATGATGAAGAGCTCCGGCCTTAGCTCTTCATTTAGGTAACCTTTCCATAAAAACTACTATTAGTAAAAGTAGTATCTTCCACAGAGAAGATAATTAACCATCCAACATGAAGCAAAAGGAAAACAACCTACTCTGAATTCTGTAAAACTCCTACAAGATCCTATCATCTCTGCACACCAATAATGCAGTGGCTCTTATCCTTGAGTCCATACCGAATGAGGAATAATGACCATGCTCCTTTCTCCAAGGCTACAGAAACCCGTCATTGGGTGCACAAATGTCAATTTGGCTTCTTGTAATTGAGGGAGGGGTGGGGGAAAATCAGATTCAGTGCGTCAAGCCACCTTATCCCATGGCAGTTCCCCCTCAAATCAGTGATTACCCAGAACTATAATAATGCTGCAGGAGAACTTCCATGTTTCAGCGCTCTCTAGGTGAGCAGAAATTCTCCCCGTTAGCAGCTTTGTCCTTTCCAAAGGCAGTAACGCTCCTACAGCTATCACATGGCCATGTAATTTGGCATAAGGCAAGCAGAGCAGGAAAACTGCGGTCCTCTCCCCAGACTCCTCAACATACGCTCTTACAAGCCTTTGTCTGTAAGGAACCCCTGGAACTTCCCGGCTTCCTGAATGGCCAATTGCAGGTATTCCCTAAGCAGCTGGCTGGCCTGCAGCTCCCTACAAGGGTACAGGGCTTGTAAGGGGTTTGGAAAATAAAGCTTTAAATTGTTGTAGCTTCTTATGTTTTCTGATGTCGGAGACCTGATCAATGCAGACATATCTGCCAAAAAATAAAGCAAGCAAGCAAGCAAGCATCATGAAGCTCCTCGATTGCTCTGTCCAACTCACAACAGTTAGCATTTGCTCGCTTCAAGGCCGAGAAGAGTAAAGTCAACTCATTTGCTTTATGATGGCTTTTTCTAAGATTTAGTTCTTCCAAATGTTTTCATTGCTGCCTTTAAAAGGTACTCCT